GAATCAGAAGTTCTGAGTCTGAGAGATTTGTCAAAGAACCGTTTTTTGGCCCGGCGGCCGATGTGGCAGTTGATTCAATGTGGGGTCGATGCTTTCCTGTGATGTTCCAGTGATCGGTGGAGCGTTGGGGTGGTTGCTTTCCCATGCAAAAACAGCGCCCCTATGAAGGGGATCACACTCAGCACCCGAGTGGGACGGCTGAGCAGGACACACTCTGACACTTGTATTCAGTGAACTCAGTTACCACGTTGGGAAGGATGGCGGTGGAACAGCATGGTGATTGGGTCAGATCACTTGAATTGTTTAACATAGTTTCCCTCGCTCTGCTGAACAAACGCTGCACATCTGCGGACGATCGGCGGCTCGGCTGCTGAAAGAAACCTGTTTTTGGGGTTGGAGGCATGAAGAACCATGGAAACAAAGAACAGCGGCAGGGTGGACCAGTGGAGTCATTGTGTTGAAAGCAGGTACAGGAAGGTGATCAGCCTTCCCTTCCCATCCATGACCGCAGCTTCGTTGCACACGGTAGGTCATGGATGCCGTGTGCCCCTGCTTGTGGAGTGAAGTGAAGTGAAGGTGGTGGAAAACCCTTTGTCCAGGGTGGGACACACACACACACACATCTTCCTGTACACAGCAATCATGTGGGGTGTTCAGCTGAAGGGTTTGTTTGCCGGAATTTTTCAGCCCAGGGCGTGGACCCGGCTGAAGCTTGATGCTCGTGCGGCGGGCCGTGTATCGCCGGTGCTTCTCGTTCGGGACGTTTCTCGTTTTGCGGAGTGCCTGCTTGAAGGAGGACCAAACCAATGTCATGGTCATGCGAGCTATGCTGGCTATGCTGTAAATTGGACCAAAACTTTGCGACAATCCCCCAGCAAAGGAATCAGTCACCGTCACATCAGCAATAGCTGCATGCTGCATACTTGAAAACATAACACATTACAAATTTATTGGGAGATCCAATTCAATTCGCACAAAGCTACCAGAAGATTAAGGGATATCTCACCACTAGCAGTGTGAACGGTGACGTACAGGTGGTGGATGTTCTTGTTGCAGCCACAAGAAAATAGTCACTGTGCAAAAAAGGGCAACATCGAACACTAAAGCAACAGGGATTGCAAACAGGAATACTTACTGTATATTGGTGTTGGAAATGCGCAGCACGCAAAGCAACATCTGTTTTGGTCAGATGGCTACAGCAATTATATAATTTGTGTGGTGATATCATATCGTATCAAGCATTATCAAACCATCCTCTATTGACAAACACCAGGCCTCCGAAAAGCTGATGAAGTTTTGAGTCTTAAAGCTGCTCTGTTCACAATATTGGGATCTTCATACAAAGGACATCAAAGGACGTTTTTCTCCACGGTGGGTTCCCTTCCATGAGTACCGATAGTGTTTCACTACCCACGTGGTCATCTGCACTTGCGACAAGGAACACAGAAACATGGGAATAGAAACCATCTTCCCAAACTGGATCTGCTCCATGTTGTTCACAACAAAGGCTACCCGAACTGGAGCAACAACCATAGACCACCAGAGTCTCTCTTCAAGTAGATTGGAGAGCCCTCCCTCCCTGGTTCCATGTTCCAGGAATTGCCAGGGTCAAGCTTGCTGCCAAATCAACCTGTGTTTGGCGCCACCAATCTGAAGAGCGCAAAGTAAGACTACATTCAAGGCATACACCCTATCCAGCCAATGGAAGTGGATGGCATGAGATGGATTGGAGGGAGGATAACTGTAACTCACCGACCTCAAGTACAACATCTCCACATCAAGGTCCGCTGGGTATTTGCAGGGTTGATCATCCTCAAGAGGTACCTAGACCCTCACTGTTGAGCAATTCACCTCTCGATCGGTTGCATTTTCTCCGCGGCTTCGCCCTTCGACGCTCCATCCAACACCCCAAACGCGCAGCGCTGGGTGCGCCAGTGCCACGCAAGAACATCAGTTGTGTGTGTGAGAGTCTGTCATGTTCTATGCTGCGAGAGTGTTTCCATGTAGCGTACTTTATTATTTCAGCAGGTTGATTGGAGGGACCAAAACGGGATGAAAATGTATCACAATTGTGTTGTTGAATACTTATATATGTGTACTGTAATTACGGTTGACATTCCTTCTCAGAAGTTGGTATCTACTGCAACTGTCCCTCCTAAACTTCTAAACAAAAACATACAAAAACAACTGTGGGGCGAACACCACACCGCTCACAATGGGGTGCGAAAATGCCAGAATGTGGTTGCGATTCTAGGCGAACCGCTCAAAGGACGTCATGGAAGATGCCGTCCATTCCTGCGATGTACAAACGGCGCGCTGTAAAGAAGAGGGACAAAAATAGTTAAGTTAAATTGTTGAAAACATCAGAGATCCTACGGGGAAAAAGTGCCCTCCACAAATCTCCGCAACGAATTGAAATCCTGCGGAGAATATCACAGACTCCCTACGGCACTACAAAGAGTCAGCCCGGCAAGAGGCACCCAGCTGTCTTAAGTAGAACAAAAAAGGGCGACTAAGCGAATTTTCGCACTCTAGAGCAGACATATGAGAACATACATATGCGAGCACAGGAGTGAGAGCACACCAAAAACATACGAGAGCACACACACACATACACATGCAAGAGCACACATAGAATATGAGAACACAAGCGCCAGTTTTAGAGAGTACACAAACCAAAGCACACACATAAGATCACACATAAGCACGCACATCTATGAGAACAGTGACCACCAAGTGCGAAAATGTGCACCACAACGAGAGCGCAGTCCAGCAGACCTCTCCCAGCCGCTCTTTTCATGCGAGATGTCCTTCAAAACCGCATCTCAAGGCATGAATGTGCTGTAACTAGCAGCGAAATCGTTGCCGGTCACTTGATCAAACCCAGAGCTTAAATACGAACCCCAAGTGCGACACACTGATTGGGAAATCATTAGAGGATATTAGAGGATCTTCTAATTCTGAACAATACATAGTGGTAGTACATCATAGTACTATTACAGTAGCCTCCCCAAAACAAATCTTATTACAGTACCTTGGACATCCTTGGACATCCTTGGACAAGAAGTTCTCGTCTTCCAACCGCTTGGCCCTCCAGGCTCCGGTAGGTCCACCTGAAAGAGATTGGGAACTGAGACATGCAGTCCTCTTCCATTCTTGGAATGACATGATGGAGTCATCCATCTCCTCATCTGCCTCACAGCGAGGCGGAAATCCCCGCGAGTCTCGCGAGTCTTCTCCGGACCCTCATCGGTTCTCGACCAACTCCGTGGATCTCCATAGTACAAAATGACTTGGAAATAAGGTTCCTGTCATGTCTGTGCACAGGAACAAGTCGTATCAAAATGTATGGAAGGCATTTAATAAGTAGTGTTACGCAACGTATATGTATGGAGCCACTCTGTATGTGCCAGCATGCCACTATCTAGACTCATATTGATAGAGTAATGTCAATCATGCACAGTCATATGATATGATATTATATATGTATATTATATTATATATATTTATTACACTATAATATCTTACAATATATATATACATTTATACGCAACAGCACTGCTTCTGTGCCTTTGGATGTGATGCCAAAGCCTGAGTTCCGTACCGTTCCGTACCTTTTGAAATTTGGGCCCTTCTTTTGCCGCGTGTGGACATCCTACAAGCAACACCCTCTGCTTAGTAGGTACAAAAGGACAAAAACCTTGGCTGTTTTGAATTGTCATTGTAGTAATTCAACTCAATATCCGTGCGAAGACCGACACAAGAAGGAACGTGAATAACCTTTCACCTCACAAGGAACTCCTCTTCTTGGCAGATACAATACAGCTACAACGTTGCGCCAAAACGATGATCCATCAACCCTCGAATCGCCCGAATCGTTTGCACTCCCCGAACCGGCCCGGCCTGCAGCACTGCGTCCCGCCCCACGACTGAACCGGCCACGAGGGACTCTTTGACCTCGGTTGGCGTTGTGCGCTGATCTTGCTCGACGTCGTGCGCTTTGTGTTTCATGGTGTTTCACTGCGGAAATTGAGGTACATCATTTGCTGGGCAAAGAGGGAATTGAGAAATGAGCTGGTTGGTTTTCTGGCCTTGAAACACTATCCTGCACCCATCCTGCCCTTCGAGGTCTTGCTGCACAAAACGGGTGCACAAGATATCCTCGGCACCTTGTCACCCAATACGATCCTAGTCGCTCACAGGCCACAAACAGCTGGATCTAAAACTAACGTGGACCGCTAAAAAAGGCTTTCCTCTACTACAAAGTCTACAAAAACCAGTGGTTTCAGAGTCCATGTGAGTCTTCAGCGGGATAGCGTATCAAAAACCTTGGCTCACCATGTCGAATTTGCTCAACTGCTCAGGGAGGATCTCGCGCCCACAAATAACAACAAGGCAGTGGCTGACCACACCCCACAGCTAGCTGCAAGGAAAGGGTGTTACTGGTACTCTGCGCAATTTGCTACGTACACAAATCTGCGAACTTCAGGTGGCATGGCCAGCATGGATTCACCCAACATGACTACCATCACTCCACTCCCCATCAAAAGCATCGGATTGGACCTCAAATGACTGTGACTTGGCATCTGCCCTTCAAAAAGCCTCCACACCAGTGACATTCACATGAATGACCCACACCCCCAGACCATCCGGACCAGTACAGTCCATCTGCCCGACCTGCAGGTCTTCACTCTCGCTCTTCGCCTCGAATCGGGAAGCTCCCACGAAGGTATGGGACGCCCTTGGCGGTCGGTGCTTACTGCACCTTGTGGCATTACACTGAAATACACCATCTACGGTGGCTTGGGCAGAACC